TTTGATGATGATGATGATGATGCCGTTATGTTCCGCTAAATTATAGTGTTAATCAAGTCGTCAGCGTTGTATTGGTGAGCAAGTTATCCGACTGAGCTGTATGTTTTCATAGGCATGCTAAAATCTGCGGTTCTGATCGAGGAGCTTGTCAGTGACCTAAATAACATGGAAGACAATAACTGGACAAACGTGGGGATAAATAGCTGAGCAGTATGGTCGCAGCATCTAATTGGTAGGTTGCTTAGAGATGTTCCTTGCACTTCTAAAACTAAGCTGAGGAGGTTTCCTCTAGCCTTTTCAGTTGGTATTTAGTGTTTATTATTGTCAACAGATTCCTGCCGCACCATTCCGTTTCGGACGGTCAGTGTTCAATAATCGGGAAATCGTTTATCAAATATTATCATTTATTTTTGAAGAGCATGATCACAAACATAAAAAGTGAGTGTAAGCGATGAATGCGAAAGAGTAACAGGAGAATATGGGAGAAAAGAGAGAAACGTCTCATTCGAGATCATGCCAAGGGCAGTGCCAGCCTGATGAGGTGAATCCCAAAGTATGTAAAGATTTTGGTATGGGAACACGCGTCTAAGGACCAACAACCAAAGAAAGGACAAACAATGGTGAATGCTCTTCAAGGTGCAGCGTGCGCTAGCACAGTCAAGACTCGCACATCAGGTGACCGTCATACTGGGTCTGGTGTGAGATTAAATGGCAAAAAGGTACCTTCAACGCCATGTGCCACGCATAAAAGTGTCATAAGTACGCAGGGAGCCCACAATGGCAAGCAAACACAAGTCGCTGACTGCGACCTTAGGAAGTCCCAGTCCAATAACAGCCTTAGCGGATTGAGGAAAGCAGATGCCTCGATAAGAGATGATCATCGGTTGGTGAACCAAAAAGTCGATATCACAACCGATGGCATGTAGGGCTGAGATTATGGCAAGGGAATGTTCATCAGCACCATACTTCTGCTTCTCATTCCACACTATCACTCCACGCCCATCCGAGACTATGCTGACGTCTATTACAGTTCCACGGCGATCTCGAACAGCGATTAGGTCAGGTTTGATGAACGACGTAGAAGTAGGGGCTCTCAACTCCTCGAAGAAGGTGTACCCCAGTCGACGGAGACGTTTTGCAAGTTCCCTTGCAACCCGATTATGACGAGCACATCTGGCATCATGCGTAATCCAGCAGGATTGCAAAATATGCACCAAACTCTCCGGTGCAGATCCGTTTATACTTGCTGTCGGCACTTTCCAGCTGTTACACGACGTTGGACTGGAGCGTTACTGATGCATAGCTGGACAGGTCCCCACTATCGAATAACAATGACGCTGGGCTGTGAGGTCTTTGGACAGTTTCTCAAAACCTGTTTCGCAGGCTCGGTTAATGGGAAAGCTCCCCATAGGTTGCTAAAAACTTCTAGACAGCGCACAACCGGTTTCGCCCTTCTTGGTACTAACCAGGTGGGCGAAGTTCCCGAGTTTAAAAGCATTATAAACCAAAGATTCGGCTGCGTCACAAGTGAGTCTCGCAAAGCCAAATTGGCATGCCAATGCCTGTATTTCTCTACCTAGTTCAATCATGTAAGCCTCAACATCGGCTGTGCATAACGCTACGCGTGTAAAAAACACGAAATGAGCAATTGTTCACTGTACTCTGTAGAGATTAGTGACTGGGAGGTGCGCTGTGACTGTGTTGGATGCTAGCTGGATTCAGTGACGTTTTTCTGCCACGTTTCACTGGCTGTTGGCCTGCTTAGAGCAGGCCATTCATTAATCAGAATATCGTTGTAGGACAGTGAGGCGCCACTGCTAATTACTGCCTCGCTACCGTGGATCATTAATCCGAGTACGGCTTTGATGAGGAAACAGTTTCTAACCTTGACTCATGAGTTATTTCCCACTGTCCAAGGTGTATTAAATTCACTTTTCACTGGATGGTCCCCTGGCGACACTTTTCTAAACTAAGTCGTTTTGCTCCATTATCGGTCACCTAGTTGTTGCTCTCAGCCCCTGTCTGATAAGATAAACCGTTACTAAAATCGGGGTCTGTTTCACATTGCGGCCTTCAAGAGCAGCACCCTGTCTCTCTGAAAGGCGCACAAAAGACCCCATTTCGGTCATCACCTCGAACCACTCAGGACGAACCCAGATTTCTTGCACTTCACTCTTCGGTTACTTGATAACCCTGGTGCTACTACACTTCGCAGTAGCAGATGAACTGACGTACGGGACAGGTGCGTTCACCTGTTTGGGCAGCTTCGTAAGTTCCGGAATCACTTCTCGAATTGTGAAGGCCAGAGTAGCGTTTGCCAGTTTCCCACACTTGTAATACCATTGTGAATTCACCTTGGCTGTCAACTATGGAGTGTACACTGCTGCCATTCGATCTATTCCTCTCTGTAGATCAGAGGCGTGGTCGCTGCGCACAGCACTGGTTAGCCTTAGAAATCTTCAGTGTCTGCTCCGCTGGCGGACATCATGAACCATGCAGAAGCCGGGCTACTCCAACCAGATTTTCAGTTGTCCTCCGAGGCAACGCAAGTCAAGTAATGGGGTGATCGCCTTCAGCGCACGGATGTCATCCCTATATTATCGTCCAACGAAAGCGTAGCAGTTAGAACTCCTATACTACATGGTTTATAGCTATAAAGGGGACGGGATGGCTCAAGTAGTTAGAGCTCGCATTTACTGACCGGAAAGTCCATGGTTCGAACCCGACCTCTGCCTCTCGACTTCCACTGTCTAGGCTTGGGCAATATGAGAGTATCCCAGCCCTCATGTCTCCGGTTGGCGTGGCAGCTAGGCACTGGAGGGGTTTTACAGCTGAGCGCAATGCAGTTATAGCCGTAAAACTGTACTTCGCTTGTGAGCATAGGTTAAAGTTAGGAACAATTATCTTCCTGGCAAGAAATGCTAGTGCTTCAGTATTGTTTACCGTAGAATGACTTAACTGTCGTAGCAAAGGTCGCAGCAAAGGTCAGTCTGGGGGTTTGTTGCAACCTATCGGTAAGCTTGTGCAACAGTTTTTGCAGCACGAAGTTTTTATCATTGCAGTCCCTCCAGACGAACAAGCCCACAAAAACCACTTTGGCGGTTTCCAAAAGGACGGGTTTGCTGTTATGTCACGGTGGAATTTACGTCATAAATGAACTTAGCCTTACAGGTTGAGTGGCGCCCTGAGGGTGCTGTCAAGTGTCACCGACGAGCTTTGTTGACCTGGGCTACGCACAGCGGAGCATTCGTCCGCAAATTACAATGCAGTTAAAATATAATGGATAGGAAAAATAAGCTTAAGCGTCATCATTGAAGGTAGCAACTGACACTTTTCCAACGTACAACCACAGAGTTTGTCTAATCACAGACGTAATACACTGCGCACAAGGTTACTGAAAATTCTTCGACAACCCACGAGCGGTTTCGCTCTTCGGGCTCAACAGGTAGGCACAGTCCCCGAGATTCTGTCAACGTTTTGTTCTACTTGAACCTAAATTGCACGAAATTAGCGAAGTAAACTCATTTACAATCCAATTTGGTTTTGCGGGAGATTCACCTGGGACCCGACCGAATCTCTCGTTTATGGTGTTTAAAGCACAGTTCAGCTGTGTTCTAGGTGAGTCTCCCGCAAAGCCAAATTGATTTGTAAATAAATGTATTGGTCTGATTATATTTCAAGCTTTAGATTGAAAAGAAAAGAAGAGAGTAGGTGAGGGGCACCTGTTGCTCCCCGCAATCATTTTTCGGTGCGTTTCTCGTCTTTTCGGGCATAGGTCCTTTTCAGTGAAATTTTGTTTGGAATTCCCGAGTCTATTCCTACTACCAACAAACTATAAGTAGATCAGGAGAAAGAATAATTCAAACGTCTTTCCTTCTGGAAAGTCGACTCTCGAGGAGCCACCCAACACGTGATGCGGATTCCGTGACCGATGGCTGAGCACTGCTGAGACAAATGCGGCGGACAGCCTTCAGATAATAAGGGTATGTTGAAGTGCCAAGCGAGGGCATTGGCATTGAACTGGCAAAGTATCCTGGGTGTAAGGTTGTCCAGACCTGGGGACAAATTACCCATCAAACGGATCGTACGACCGGCTTTCTCGCCCGTGACTGGCTCGATCAAATCAATCGGATGGTAGCATTGCGCGACTTGGCCGGCTATCCACGTATTTTGGAGCTGAGAGCACCTATTTCCGATACTGCTTAGCGTTCAGAGGTAGGCCACAGTTACTTTTGTATAGATCCTTCCATTACCCATCGAGGACAGCAGACGATGTGTATTTCCGTCTTTTTTGGTATAGTTTCTGGATAGTGGCGTAGTTCGCTCGGCGGATCTGCTTTCGGCTGACCGGGATCCAATGGGCTAACTGACGACGGCGTCGGGATGCACTTTTCCAGGTTTTTGGAAATGTCCTGGAGTCGTGGAGGTCCAGAAGCGACAGGACTTGTTCCGGTGTCATGATGCCAGACTGTAACCCTCGGGCAAATGCCAGAAGGTCAACACTAGCGAGCGAATGGTCAGCATGGGATTCCAAGAGTGACACGGTGCAATCCACGGTTTGTTTAAACTAGGCGCTATAGTTATCGACTTCTGTCGAGTAGGCCGCTGTTTGACGAATGGTTTGGTCAGGGTCATCAAGTGATGATTCGTTCTTTTGTGCTTGCCAGTTAAGCACCCGTAACCTGTTTTTGATGTTGATAGCCGATCGACCAGGAAAATACCAATCCAATCTCGCGAACTGCGCGGTTCGCGTGTCATAAGACGAATAAATGTACTAGAGTGATTTTTACTCTTGTTAAGACCAGTGGACACCAGAAATATTCGCTCGGCTAAGCTTATCTCCATCATGCTGAGTGAGGTTTTCGTACCGGCATTGTTGACTCAGGCCAATCTTCGTCCGAAAAGGGTGGGAACAATCAGCGCGTGCCATTTGGGCGACCATGTTCGTGCCAACACTTATATGGACATGAACTCTACTGTGCGTCTTCAAGCCAGCTTTCGATTTGCAGCACTTGTCACATTCCTCACACGTGAGCCCCACAAATCTCTCCTGTGTACTGGTTGGAGCTTTTGAGGAGGCGCCGTATGATTCGTATTTTACATTTCCAAAAGTAACGAGTACATTGAAACCAAACAGGATGGTTAGCTCTCTCTCTGGTGTTGCTGAAGTGTTAGCTCACCCAGACTGACGTCCGAGCTACCCAGTCGGTATCATAGATAAAGTGCCAGTCCTCGCTCACAGAATAGTAGTCTATTATTTTGCCTTATGTTCAGCATAATACGTATGGTGCATGACAGGTTATGCAGGAAGCTAAAGGAGTATAAACCGTTTTGGCCGACAGTCGGGTCGGGAGGTCAACTACTAGCGCAGTGTTCACTCAATCGGCTGATAACAGTTGTAATCAATTCTGACAAAACCTTTGGAATACTCTACCAGCCGCTAATCTATCTACCAAGATCCGTTCAACATCGACATCTAGCCACAGGTGAGGCAGTTGCTATTCATTCACGTGGCCCGAGTCTGCTACCAAGAAAGCTTTCGTGAGTGCATTGAGACTTCCATGATCCGCGTACGTGTTGGCTGTTCACTCAGGCCAATCGATGGTGACGTGAGCAATTTCCACGTCTTAGCTCATATATATTTACCTTCGTTCTGCTTGCATGTATCCTTTACTTAGTTATAACCCTTCAATCTATATTGACCAAGGGAGGAGATCGCTGAAAAACTGCTGTTGCTCAACTCTCAATTGCCCCTGTACGTCATTCCAAAATATGTTAATCGAACAGATTAGTGAGTGGATTTATGTGCAAAGCTGATATCCTAATAACATTAGATTGCTATGAATAGTCACGTACCTCATAGGACGCCACGTGTCTTTGCCCTCGAGAGGAGCATAGAATTTGCATGTATTGTACCAGCGGTCTCCATGCCGACTTGCTAACCGTCCTAAACCAACCGACTGTACTGGGTAATAATCTGTGAATGTCTCGAGGCTCAGTATTTGTTGCTAGGGTGTTATAAAATCGTAGCGAGGGGCGGGTTTAGTGATAGGAACTCCGTTCGAACGAGTGCTCACCGTGAGAAGGGGGCTGTGTTTCGTTTACCCGTGTAAACTGGATCGATTTTGGATATCCTCCATTATATCACCTGGTGCGGGTCTATTCTGTTTCGGAACCTAGGTGCGTCTAACATATGCTAACCTTTGGGTAATTCAATTTTTCAACAGTGGTCGATTTTGAGCGACTAAAAGAATTCACTGGATTTTGTAAATCAAGGTCCCGATACCGAACTGGTTGAGTACATAACCTTTAACAAATGGATGTTAGCTTTATTCAACGCCCGTCAGACGGCAGACCTATTTGTTAATACCATTTTGGAAGACAATCGTTTGAATGTGTCCCAGTGCTTCTACCGCTGATTGGAAGTAACCAAGGTTCGTCAGAACTGAACACATACTGCCTCGGGTCAACTACCTCGGGAAATCATGTCTGTGACATCACAACCTCGACAGTCAGTAGCAGTTTGGTATCATCGAAATTTTGCCAAGGTTGCACACCAAATTGACTTCCAAACGCATAGAATCTGTATTCAGCCAATCATGTGCGAGTGTTTCCGACCCTATCGATCGTCAGTCAAACGTGTAATTGTTGTAAGTAGTTGTTTTTGTTCAGTGGCATGTTAACTAAGACAACAGTTTGCTGTGTTCTGTTGGGGTTCATCAGCCAGGGTCACCTGCATACTGGGATGCTGTCGTTTTGGTGGCACCAGCAACAGCAATGTTCACCAGAACGAGGTACCCTCGTTTCATGGTGTTCCAGCTACTACTCATAACGCGATATTCCGATGTACCGGACAGATATTGGCAGATATTGGACAGATATATTGGCATTGTTCGGATATTCTTCCCGTCATAGTACCACCGATTTCCCTTGTTTTTTTAAGGTGGCGACGTATGAGTATGGCACTAATGAGTCTACTTGCATGAATGGGCACCATGAACCGTTATCTGATCTCGGTTCCAGCACAAACAGTTGCACGTAGGCATGCAGCTGGATACTTCTGTTGTTGCTCGCTACGGTGACCCCCTATGGTACAAATCTATCTTAGTAATAGGGTACAGTAGAAAGCTAGCGTAAAGGGTACTAATTCACACCATCGTCCGCTTCAAAATGACGAGAATTTTGCTTATTTCAAATAATCACCACCTCATAACACCTAGTGAAATGTTTAACATACTGTATATCCGACGTTGCACGGCGTTTGGTAAAACGCGCTGAATATTTCTGTTTGTGGATGCAGTTGAAAGTCTATCCTTTCTGTCCCTATGATTAACCATCCACGTGTATCTCCTATTAGAAAATCATGCTCAGTCACGGGTATATAAATGACGAATGATGTGGAACCTAAGATACCCTCAAATTTACTACGATAGTACCCCGTAGATGGCTGACTGCCCAACTAGTACTCCACTCCCCTTACCATGCTGCTAAATTTGTCTAATCGTTTGTCTAATGATTACTGTACATTCATCTAAATCAGGTTATTTCGCTTTAAACGTCTGGTCTGCTTCTGCTCTTCTATTATCTTCACGCCAGGGGCATTACAGAATCATCCTCGTACCGAGACACCAGTTGCCACTGAACTTATTTTTACGCATCCCAGCTCTATACCTTCGTGTGTTTGGGTGTGGATATTACTTGATAGGAGCTAATTATTCAGATGGCATTCTAAAAATGGCCACATCGAATCACGACCACCCGTCTCATCCGGATATTCCCCGTCTTTTTATCCAGGTATCCGTAAGGAAAGCGAGCGAGATACATTAGCTTGACGTTGATAGTTTCGTTCATCAGCTTGTTATTCGTAGCGAAAATTTGAAACGTCCATTGTGTACTCAAGGAAAGTGTGCCCATCGAAGAATCCCGTGGACCGTAAAGAGGGTCGCTCTTCTAAGTGTTCTCTTGAGCTTTTGGAGCAAATGATCTATAGGTGAATGCGACCCCTGAAACTTGTGTTGGCGTTTAGGTGAATACGCCCACCCTGACCACTTTCTCAGAATAATAGCCAAAATAGACGTTGTTCGATATGCGAACCCAAATATATTGCCGATATGTGGATTCTATACACGTGTCATCACAACTTTAATGAGTCGATTCAGTGTTGAATGTGAAAGCAATGCGTTGTCTTCATTCTGTCCAGTATATAAGGCATAGTTGTGAGAGTTTTTGTTCTTCATGGTGTACTTCATGACACCAATGCTTTTTGCAATGTTATTTTTCCTATCTTGCTGGTTCACTTCTGCTACCTTGTTAACATATTTGAACTTTTTATTTCTTTAGTCTCCTAAACTTCATGGGTAAGTTTAGTGGGTGCGTTTGTTCTCACTAATCAATGATTGAACGGTTACCCACAGAACATTCCGGATATTTTGTGGATTATGTAACTGTGACTTTGGTTTCGTAGCATCACTCGTCCTCAGATGAGTGCAGCCGTCGAACACTGGAAATATGTTCAATATATCACCGCTTATCGTCTGGTTAGCATTCTCTAGCAATCACTCTACTATCGCAGCAATTTCCTAAGTTACACAACCGGAACCAGCAAGAAGAATTCAACCATCAGAAGATACTCATAACTCTGGATGATTTCCGTCTCAAAGATATTGGCTTAAAAGTTGATGAAGCGTTCTGAACGATTCTGTCGGGTTTTAACGCAGCCTGGATATACCAAGGAGCGCGTCAAGTGGGTAGTTCAGTGCTGACTCCAGCTTACTGTCTATTGGGACCGACTTAATTCATCCTGATAGAACTAACTTAGTATCTGATTTCCTCTTCATTCGAAGTTCGTTGCTGAGTGGTATTTATCGCAGGCCTTGAGGCTGTTATCCTGTCTAACCGATCATTTTGACTTAAATTTCTTCATCATCCGTCAGACTTGCTTGTCTAGGTGATGAAAAATCCACACCATTTGCATGGGCCTATAGTTTACTCGGATGTTCTCAGTTTCATCATTTTAATCCACGTACCTACGCCTGTAAATAACAAACGGCTGTTTTACCTCTATCGATTCAACAGTGTGCTTAGCCCCTAACCATCAAACCTTACCCCGGTTTGGGTGCTAACGTACTGTAACTACGAAAGTGACTCAGCAACCGTAATTATGGCTTTGTGTGACTACGTTGAATTTACACGGTCGATACACAGCAGTCTTCAGTCGGTTTGTGTTCGCTTGCAACACACGCTAGAACAACCTTGTTGTACCACTAATTGTGTGTCTAGCATGTCCACACAACCGATCGATCGCCAGTCGCAGATTGTAAAAACCAGTGTCCGCAGTAGAAAAATATCATTTCGCCCTAAATTTTGTGTTCGATAATGAATGACTTGATTATTATGCGTACGTTGGAGGTAATCGAAGGATTTTGCGGGTTGAAGATCACCCTCCTACACGCCCAAAATACTTCAGTCGGCTGTCGCAGTCACTATTAATCCGAATACAGAGCAGCACATCACGGTCACATCTACTCGATATCCCAAGATTCAGTCACATGTGAATCGATGTATCCCGTTCCACTAGCGTGAGAATGTAAGGAACCTTTAACGTTAAAGTTGTCGCCGCAACTTTTACCGAATTTTGGCAGTTTTTACCTCAAAAACTGATAAAAAGATGGAAGCCAATTTTGGCATTCCAGTGAAAAGTAATTCGCTGAATAATCCACATCGAATTAATACAAAGCTAGGGTGGCTAAGTAAATGAGCTAGTTAACCTAGTAATACTTGTCTTTCCGAACCGTCGATGCATGGATGTCTGTTCTCGGCTATTGTACTATTTTTTCCGTTTGGAGTAACAAAACTCATGGACAAACGGACATAGTCCTTCATTCATTTAATTGAGTAGCAAAGACACATTGCTCATGCCAGTCTGAACTTCTCGAGACCTTGTCCTTAGAATATTCACTATCCACTTCTGAGGAATCTTTGTCCGCCGTCACAGTTGTTTTTTTTTGCAATGGTATTTCTTGAAGAAATAAAATATGCTGATTGTGATGATATCCAGTGTTCACGGGAATGTGCAGAGGAACCGGACAGAACTCCTTCCCATTTGATACAGAATGCCGATATTGTGGCCTTTTTGAATTTGTCAGTGGTGTACTATTTTGAGGGTCTCAATATGGATTCTCCTACATGGCGAAGAATGGGTGATTGTAGCTAAATTAATCATGGAACCTAGCTTGAATGAGATATGAGAGAAGGCCATTACATGGAAAGCTACAAGGGCGAATGATCGTACTTGGCTACTCCGGCCGAAGGGGAGTTGAGTGATATACACAACAAAACAATTTTCTTGGTTGTTGGTCTGTTCGCCGAGCTTGGCAGTTGGATTGCAAACGTTTCATTACCAATCGAGGTGACATCGTCAGTGCAGTGTACTCAACCCTACACTGACGATGTCACCTCGATTGGTAATGAAACGTTTGCAATCCAACTGCCAAGCTCGGCGAACAGACCAACAACCAAGAAAATTGTTTTGTTGTGTATATCACTCAACTCCCCTTCGGCCGGAGTAGCCAAGTACGATCATTCGCCCTTGTAGCTTTCCATGTAATGGCCTTCTCTCATATCTCATTCAAGCTAGGTTCCATGATTAATTTAGCTACAATCACCCATTCTTCGCCATGTAGGAGAATCCATATTGAGACCCTCAAAATAGTACACCACTGACAAATTCAAAAAGGCCACAATATCGGCATTCTGTATCAAATGGGAAGGAGTTCTGTCCGGTTCCTCTGCACATTCCCGTGAACACTGGATATCATCACAATCAGCATACTACATTCGACAACACTGCTAAAGCAATTTTAATCGCGCTTCACCGTCCTCAAGTAAAAGAAAACTGATTTGTGTCCGTGAAGATGGAACGCACTACTCACACCGTTGGTGAAAACTGCTCGACTGATGTATTTTTCAGCAAAGCGATCTATTTGACATAGACTTTGTATAAGTAAAGGATCGCCTGCACAAACAGACGTGAACATGTGACATCCTGTTCTTATTCACGAATGGACGGGTATAAGAAGGCTCTGGACATTTGCATTGTAGCATCAGGGGTATGGAAGCCGGTCCTTTGACATAGTCTGGCAGATGGACAACATCGGTTAGTGTACGAAACGCTCTAGCAGCACGTGTGCATCATTACAGCCAGTAGTCACCGCAATTAACGTGGACTGGTGAAATGTTTAGAAAAAGAAGTCATACAACATATTAGCAGGTATTAGTCGTGCTGTATAACCTAAGTGGAATATACTTCGTTGGACATGGCTGCTTTACATCAACCAGTTGACAGTAGCATATGCAGCCCACTCAAATTCTTGGACAAAGCACCTTGGGTCGGTTTGTTTGCATCAGCCCACAGGAATGAGCTTCACAGTGTCCAAGCGGATCTGTGAAATTTTGCCGTATTTGTCAACTGGCACCGCTCACTGACCGCAGTGAAAGATACTGAGACAAGTCATTCGGGTGAACCCACTGGGATTGATGGCCTAGCCAGTATGAATAATATGGTCAAATCCGATTTAATGGCGCACGAGTTCGTTACCGGTCACGTGGCAAGTGCAGCAGCGGTCCGAAGAGCTTGTCAATGAAACCAGACCTGTCAACTGGGAAGAAGCCCTCTGACTTATGGTGAACCAGATGAGGGCTAGGAATAATTCGGTTGATAAAAGCTGACAGCTACGGAAAGCTTCCGATCGTCTCGTTTTTTGGAGTCGCAAATGTAGACCTACCTTTCAGTAGTACAGATTTGAAAGGGACTTACCGAGGAGTGAGTTGCCTTTGTGAGCAACTTCCATTAGCAAGTTTTCTTCCAAAGTGGATAATGCCATTATGGAGAGAGTGTGCGTGTGTGTGCGATGTTTTATTCTTCATTTTGTGCATTTTATTTATTAAGTTCGACTACTAGTTTCGCTCACATCAGTAAATTATTCACACGTTTTTTTATTTCCACCCCCTCTCTAACACCTGGTCAAACGTCACACACGTTACGTATCTGTCACGGCAGATTAGCCTTATCACAGAATGCTATCTAGTGAATAAGTCTTTGAAATGGCGTGCGTGAAACGTGAGGTGTTGATTGAAATTGTAAACTTTGATGCGCTTCAGCAGACCGCCTATAGTGACATTTAGACTAAGAACGATCGATGACGCTCTGTAGTTAGTAAACGATGCACATGATCTTCGAGAAATGTTCGCATTTTCTTTTGACCAAAAACGTTCTACCACTCGGTGGAAACTAGTAACCAAATCAAGACAGAAAAACACCGTCGGGTAAAAGCCTTTAGTAGACATGCTATGGCTGGTAAGTACGTTGTATTTACTCCTATTATGTTTACAACAAAACCGATGACCCGAAGTGTCCAGCCAAGCCAAAAACCATACCTCAACGGATGATAAACTTAATTGTCAAACTTACTTACCAGCGAGCGGTCTGTAAGATCCATGTAGCAACTGGGTATGACGTTTGACGTGACAAAATGTCATTGTGTCTTGATCAACTTTGGCAGCTCCGAGCTCCTTACTGCCGACCTGCATTTCCATGCGCGAACCAACTGTACTAAGAAAACACCAATAGAAAGGAACATATTTCTTGGAGAAGTTCCTGCACAGTCCATGTATTAGAAAACCGTTCGGACCGATATGAATACAGTTTATCGAGCTGGGTAACTTCGCAAGGACGAACAAAAAATGTTCAAAGTAGTTGTGGATTTCATCGGACTCCATACCAGCAGTTTGATATCCTGCCGAGCATAGCTGACTGACATCAGTGAAATGAAAACCATGTCTTGTAAACCAGGAATGATTGCAGGCGTTTACAGTTCTTTTCGAATCGTCACTGTACTCCATGAAGACGAAAATATGGCATCAAAGAAGTAACAACATGCAAACTTATGCTTACAGGATTGATGCATAAGCATTCGAGTGGCCAACAAGGTGACGGAGGTTTGCGTTTACCAAAGTGGTTACGTTTATGGAAACGAGTCGGTGTGCAGTAAAAACGTCGGATGTTGCGGCTTACAAAAAGCCAAGATAACTCTAAGAACTAAGAACTCGTGTTCAGCTTTGAACATTCGAATTTCCAGCACACATCATTAATAGCAGCCATATATATAATTCACAATCGATTTTGATCTGGTCCGATAGAAATTCCGGGGTGGCTGCATAATACGATTCCTCGCATCATGGGGAGTAGTTGATCATCATCGGCTGCCCCATGAAATAGATGTCCTGACATGTTTCAACCTTTAAGAACTGAGTTTCATCAAGTATTGTTCGCAGGGTTACTGCAGCACAGAAGTTCGAT